CCCACAAGCCATACCACGCCCACCAAGCCACGCCCACAGAACCGGTAGTAAAATTTTTTGAAACCCACCACTGCTCTACACCACTCAAAGAAGTGTTCAAAAGTTTCCTTCTTTTTTGAAGCTGCTTCTGACACCTAAATCTCTCTCTCTCTCCTTTTTTTTAACCCAGAGACGGAGTTTTTTTTCCATCCTCACAGCTGGGGTCCACAAAGTTTAAGCCAAAAGGGCAAGAGGGGAGCCACGACAGGGGAGGGGGGGGTCACATGTTGAGAATCATAGTGGCGCAGTGGTCAGAATGCGGCATTGCTGGCAAAAACTCTGCCCACACAGCCGGGAGTTCGATCCCTGACCGGCTCACGGTTGACTCAGCCTTCCGTCCTTCCAAAGTTAGTAAAAATGAGGACCCGGATTGTTGGGGGCAAGAGGCTGACTCTGTAAACCGCTTAGAGAGGGCTGTAAAAGCACTGTGAAGCGGTATATAAGTCTAAGGGCTAAGTGGGAAGGAAGGAAGGAAGGAAGGAAGGAAGGAAGGAAGGAAGGAAGGGAAGGAAAAGAAACAAGAGCTGACTCTGTAAACCGCTTAGAGAGGGCTGTAAAAGCACCGTGAAGCGGTATATAAGTCTACGGGCTAAATGGGAAGGAAGGAAGGAAGGAAGGAAGGAAGGAAGGAAGGAAGGAAGGAAGGAAGGAAGGGACAAGAGGCTGACTCTGTAAACGCTTAGAGAGGGCTGTAAAAGCACCGTGAAGCGGTATATAAGTCTAAGGACTATTACTATTCTCTTTCTTTCTCTCTTTCCCACCCTCTCTCCTTCCTTCGTGCCCTTTTCTTTCTATCTTTCTTTTCTTTCTTTCCTCTAGTCTCCTGCCTTCCCTTCTTTTTCTCCATTTTTTTCTTTCTCCATTTTTTTCTTTCTCTCCTGGTCCTCCATTTCTCATTTCCCTTCTTTTTCTCTCCCTCTTCCTTCCTCTCCTCCCTCCCTCGGTCCCTCCCTCCCTCTTCTTTCTTTCTTTCTTTCTTTCTTTCTTTCTTTCTTTCTTTCTTTCTTCTTTCTTCCTTCCTTCCTTCCTTCCTTCCTTCCTTCCTTCCTCTCTTTCCCTCCCTCTTGCTTTCTTTGTTTCTTTCTTTCTTTCTCTACCTTCCCTTTTTTCTCTATTTTTTCTTTCTATCCTGCTCCTCCATTTCTCATTTCTCTTCTCTTTTTTGCTCCCTCTTCCTTCTCCCTCCCTCCTCTTTCTCTTCCTTCCTTCCTTCCTTCCTTCCTTTCCCTCTTTCTTTCTTTCCCTCTTTCTTTCTTTTTCTTTGTCTACCTTCCTTTCTTTTTCTTGTAAGAGTCGTGGTGACGCAGTGTTCGGAATGCAGGCTAACTCACTGCTCACTGTTAGGAGTTCGATCCTGACCGGCTCAAGGTTGACTCAGCCTTCCATCCTTCCAAGGTCACTAAATGAGGACCCAGATTGCTGGGGGCAATAGGCTGACTCTGTAAACCGCTTAGAGAGGGCCGTAAAGCACTGTGAAGTGGTATATAAGTCTTAAGTGCGATAGCTATTGCTATTCATGGGTGATACAGGTGTTCCTTGACTTACGACTGTCATGGAGCCTGCCCATCATGCTCGCAAGTTGTGATGGTCATAATCAGTGGTGTGACCAGTCTGATTTTACAACTTTTTAAGTGAATGCCACGGTCACTCAGGGAACCAGTGGTTCTCCAGGGGGGCAGTTTTGCCAAAATTTAGAAATAAGTGCAAATATTCTGGTCAAAACATCATAAAATTTGACTGCAGGATGCTGCAAATGGCTATAAAACCAGGAGCTCTGGTGGCTCAGCAGACTAATTAATATCCACTTAACATCTGCTGCCTGTTTGCAAGTTCAAATCTCACCAGGCTCAAGGTCGACTCAGCCTTCCATCCTTTCTAAGGTAGGTAAAATGAGGACCCAGTTTGTGGGGGCAATAAGCTGACTTTGTATAAATATACAAAAGTATGAAGGCTATTGCTTAGCACATTGTAAGCCGCCGTGAGTCTCCGGAGAAGGGCGGCATATAAATCAAATTTTTTAAAAAAATGTGGTTGGAAGTTCAGTCACATGACCGTGGGGTGGGGGGTGGGGGGAGTTAAGGGGTCTGCGACCATCAGAACTTTGAATCCGGGTTCTATGTACCTCCACGATAAATCCCCTGTGACTTCAAATGGTCACTAAGCCACCGGTGGTAAGGCTTAGGATGCACCATTTGTGGCCGCCATCTTGATTTTTTGGACTGTGGAAAACCCCAGCTGGCTCACACACAAACACACCACAGACCTTGGCAGGCTCCGGTACGGATGTTGGGAATGAATCCGCGGCGACAAGGGTGCGGCTGGGCCGGACACATCTCGCAGGGGTGGCCCCAGGCGCGGCCGATGGTGGCACAGCACATGGTTTTGGTGCACACGATCCCACTCAGCTGGCCTTGGCACATCTGTTTGTTCACCTGGCTGAAGCAGGGTCCCGTGCGGTAATCTAGGGAAGAAAGAAGAATGGTGGTCAGTGCCAAACCAGAAATGGGGGTCCCTTGGATGAGCAGGAAAGACACCCCCCCCCCGAGGGAGGGTGCAAAGGGGGCTTCGCATTCGTCTCCTGCCACAGTCTGTGGGCTACCAGAGTTTGGTGAGCAAATTTGCTTCCTGGAGAACCAATTTTTACCAATGCTGGGCAGTTCTCTGTTTCTGGACAAATGTTGGCTTGTTGTCGGTCAGTGGGGTTAAGAGTTGGGGGAGGGGATTTGAGGCCCTAAGAAAGAGGATCTTCTAGGTGCCCCTTGAATCAGTGGAACAGCTTCCTTCCAGAAGTTTTGGGTGCTCCATCACTGGCAGCTTTTAAGAAGAGACTGGACAACCACTTGTCTGAAATGGTATAGGGTTTCCTGCCTGAACAGGGGGTTGGACTAGAAGACCTCCAAGGTCCCTTCCAACTCTGTAATTCTGTTATTCTGTAATGTGGTTTCTGTCATTGAGGGCTTTCAGCGATTTTAAAATAGTGGAAATTAGTTTTGTTTTTATTTGATTTGCACGGACACCCACTCAAGCTCTGGGCAGCAAAATAATAATTTAAAACGAGTAAGAAAAGCATCAGGAAGAAAGAGGAAGAGAGAGGAAGGAGAGGAGGAGGGAAAGGGGGAAAAGGAAGGAAGAGAAGGAGAGGAGGAAAGAGAGGAAGAGGTAGAAAAGGAAGAAAAAGGAGGAAGAAGAGGAAAAGGAAGACAAGGAAAGAAGAGGGAGAGGATTGGAGGAAAAGAGGGAGAGGAAGAAGAGGGAAAGGGAGAAGAGAGGAAGTGGAGGAGAAAAGGAGAAGGATGTAGAAGTGAAGAGAGGAAGAGGAAAAGAAGAAGAGGATGAGAAGGAGAAGGAGAAGAAAAGGGAGAGAAAGAGAAGAGGAGAAAAAGGTGGAAGAGAGAGAGGACTGGAAGAGGGAAAGGGAGGAGAGAGGAGTGAAGGAGAAAAAGGGAAGACATAAAAGAGGAGGAGGAAAAGATGAAGAGGAGAAGAGAAGGAGAAGAAAACAGAGAAAAAGAAGAGGAGAAAAAAGTGAAAGGGAAGAGGGAGAGAAGAGGAAAAAGGAGAGGGACAAGAAGAGGAAGAAAAGAAGGAGAGGAAAAAAGAGGCAGAAGAAGAGGAAGAGAAGGAGAAGAAACAAACAGAAGAGGAAAAGATGGAAAAGAGAGGGAGAAGAAGAGGAAGAAAAATAGGAGGAAGAGAAGCGAAAGAAGATAAATCGGGTGGATGAAAAAACAATTTCCAGAACGGCAAACATATTGATGTAGACTTTACACCACCCGAAAAAATGACATTTCCTCTCCCCAATACACTAAAGGGGAGTGGGGGGGACACCCCTCAGTCTCCCCCATTTTGCAGCTGGACAATCTCCCCGCAACCCCTTCGGGAATGACCACATTTTTAAACTCTGGAAAGCGCCTCTCGAAGGGGTTTTCCAACTCTTCATCTCCACCCTCCCCACGGGATCCGGTCAACGGGGTGACCCACTGAGATTTCCTGCCTTTGAAACCCGACAGACCCAAGGAGAGATCCCACCCACCCAGCCCAGCCATCTGCAAAGAAGGACGGGGGTCTTGAAGGACAAGCGAGGCATTGTCAGGGCAGGGAAAACATCTTTTCTTAATTTCCTGGCCTCCGGCACGGACTGCCTTTCCCACGTTCTGGCCGTCATCGCTGATTTTAGCCGCCGGTCCGAGGCTGCAGGGGTGGGCAGCTTGCAGGAATTTGGGGGGCGGCGGTGGTGGGTGTCCTCCTGTGTGGTGTGATGGACTAGAGGTGGAGCCTCTCACCCCACAATCAGGAGGTTGTGAATTCAATCTTAGGTAGAGGCAGATATTTCTCTCTCTGGGCACAATGAGAATATATCTGCCGAACAAAACTCCGCGTTGGCGACAGGAAAGGCATCCGGCCAATAAACACTGAGCTCCATTCAGTTGCCCAGACTCTACATGGGGCTCCCCTTGAGGAGCACCCGGAGGCTCCAACTGGCGCAGAGTGCGGCCGCGCGGGTGGTTATGGGAGCAACATGGCGCTCCCGTGTAACACCTCTCCTGTGTGAGCTGCACTGGCTCCCGGTGGTCTTCCAGGTGCGCTTCAAGGTTTTGGTCACCACCTTTAGAGCGCTCCATGGCTTAGGACCTGGTTATTTACGGGACCGCCTACTACCACAAGCAGCCTCCCACCGGCCGGTACGCTCTCATAGAGAGGGGCTCCTCCGGGTGCCATTGGCCAAACAATGTCGACTGGCGGCCCCCAGGGGGAGAGCCTTCTCTGTGGGGGCACCCACTATCTGGAACGAGCTCCCCCCGGAGATACGGAGGATCCCGGATCTGCGCACTTTCCGCCGTGCTCTTAAGACCCTCCTATTCCAGCAAGCCGGCCTGGCCTAATTTTCTCCCCTGTTTTAAAATTCTTTTAAATCGAAATTTTAATCTGTTTTAAATTATTGGGATTTTTAATTGTCTCGGGCTAAATTATTTAATCTGGTTTTAATTATGTTTCTAACTTTTGTATCTATGTATTTTATTTTGTGCCTGTTCACTGCCCTGAGTCCTTCGGGAGTAGGACGGTATATAAATTTAATAAAAACAAAACAAAACAAAAGAAACAAAACTCCACCCCGCAAGGGGTTATGGGGTCGTTAAAAGAGGATGGTGGGTGTCCTCCTCTTATTTTAGCAAGGGGTCCATCATCAACATCTCAGAGTCAGTGGTTGGGCACAGGTGGGACCCTGCAGGCTGACAAACGTGTATATTATCCGTTACAAGGGTCCTGCCTAAACATTTGGGGATGTTCTGGCTGATTTTCTCAAATGCAGGTAGCCCTCAATTTATGACCACAATTGGCCCACAATTCTTGTTACTCAACAAGGCCGTGGTTAGGTGAATTTTGCCCCATTGTACGACCGTTCTTGCTGATCTGTCCCCGTCTACACACACACACACACACAAACACAGCCAGCCGAGGGTTAAGAAAGTAATTGGCACGCACACAGATTGTTATCTCAAACTTGGCAACAATATAAGCACCGTCTGCCAAGAGTTTTACTGCAACAGATAACATAAAATTACATACGCATTGCAAATAGTCCAGCAAAACAATATCCCTTCGGCAGCTTCAGACGTTGTTCAAGTGACTAGCCAAAGTTAGTTTTTGTTCATCACGGAGTTTTACCAGCCACCACCCTCTCTTATATAGTCTCTGGGGTGTGGTCCAGTGACTCAGCTATAATCCCTAGCACGCCTCCTTAACTGCTGCAACCGTTTATCACGCCTTCGTTGGCGTGCATCCAGGAATGACGGCTCTCCTTCGCTCTCATCCGAGACACCTGGCTCCTGGCTAATCTCCTCTCCCTCGGCCGGCATCTGAGACAGTGCCAGAGGGGAGGGGCCTGGAGAGGGAGGCCTGGCTGACTCCTCTCCCTCATGTTTGGAGCTTTCTTCCTCCGATGGGACAGGCTCAGAGGGCGGGGCCACAACACTTGCCAAAGTGTATCACCGCAGTCATTAAGTTAGTCACAAGGTTGTTAAGTGAGTCTGGCTTCTCCATGAACTTTGTTTTTTAGAAGGGCACAAAAGGGGATCACATCACCGGGGACTCTACGACCATCATAAATATGAGTCAGATGCCAAGCGTCTGAATTTTGATCGCAGGACTGTGGGGATGCTGCAACAGCCATAAGTGTGAAAAATGGTCATAAGCCACTTTTTTTCCGTGCCGTTCTAATTTTGAATGGTCACTAAGTGAACGGTTGTAAGTCGAAGACTACCTGTAAGGCATGGAGAACATGACACCCTTTTACGTGTCCTGACAAGCAACACTGTCATTTGATACGTTGCAGGAATATCGGAAAAGCTTGGATCTTCAGCCAACACAACATATGTACACTCTTCAAAGAATACACGAAGGCAGAAGCTTGTCCACCCCAAAGATAAAACACCCAGACAGAAACTGAGCAACGTGGTAGATGCAGTACAATGTAGTGAGCCCTGTGCAGATCTGTACATGGGGGAAACAAAACAGCCACTTCACAAACGCGTGGCATAGCCTAGGAGTACAAACCCATCAGGACAAAATTCAGCAGTCCATCTGCATTTAAAAGACAAAGGCCGCTCTTTCAAAGACAGCAAAGTCCACATTGCTCCCCCCTCTTAAAGTGTGTTTAATTCCTCATCCTGGCTGGGGAATTCTGGGAGTTGAAGTCCACCCATCTTAAAATTACCCCCGGTTGAGAAAGCCCACTCTGGAGACTGAACAGGACCCCCAAGGCCAACCTTCGGGAAGGAAGGAGCCAGACACCCTCCCCCCTTTTTCTTTTTAAGTCCTGCTCCCAAAATAGACTTGCGGGAGGGGGGGAGAAGGGGGGAAGGCAGAGAAATGGACAAAAATAGATTTCCTGATTTAAGTTCCCAGCAAGTGACGGAGAACAGCCGAAGCTGTCGGCAGTGCCTAGGCAGGGGCGGGAAGGGGAGGGGAGGGGAGGGCGAGCTGGCGGAGGGCCAGAGCACATCTGGATCTAATTGGAAGAGGTCAGGTGATCAAAGATTTAATGAGGCTGCAATCAAATTTTATTAAGGCTCAGACATGGGATTGACCCCTCCCCTCCGTACACGAGAAAGGCTGTAAACTGCCCCACATGGTCAACTCTGTCCTGTCCCAAAACACAATTTTAAGGCACCTGGTAACCAGGGGTGAAATGTAAAATTTGTTACTACCGGTTCTGTGGGCGTGGCTTGGTGGTGAGGGTAATGTGACTGGGTGGGCGTGGCCAACTTTTTTTAAAAAAAACTTTTCAAAGCATTTTTTCTGCAAATGCAAAAAAATGCTTTGAAAAGGCTCTGCCGATCAGGCAACACAGCTGGGATCGTCAGAGGCTTTTCAAAGCATTTTTTAAACCACCTCTTCCGCCGAAGAGGTTGCAGGAAAAAATGCTTTAAAAGCCTCTCTGATGATCCCAGCTGAGTTGCC